TCGGCGCCAGGCCCTGCCCGCGCCCCGCCGCTCCCGCGGCTCAGCCCCCAGCCCGAGCTTCCAGATCCCAGCCGCTGTTCTGGGGCCGTCCTGCGCGCCCCCTCCGGCCCCCGCCGCAGAGTCAGAAGCACTCTCGGGCCCTCCAACGTGGGCCCCGAAAGGGGGCGGCCCCACTTTGGCCACTCTTACCTGGGGGTCCGGCCCTGCCGCCCGCGCGCGCTCCCTGGCTGCCCTCTGGTGGCGGCCGCGGGTACCCGCCGCGCCCCGCCCCGCCCCGCCCCGCCCCGGGACCTGTTGCTGCGGGCTGGAGAGTCCTGGCCCGCGGTCCCACGGAGGTGACTACCTCTCTGGATGGTCATCTTCGCCACCGAATGGGTCTCAGGGCTCCTTGTTCCTGGATAGCAAACCGCTTTGGCTTTTCTCTAAGCAGCTTCGAGTCTCTAATCCCAAATTTAAAGCCTGATTTGTAGAAGCGACCCATGCTAACGACCATGGGGCCTGCAGCTGCGTATTACACTGTGCAACCTAAGCTGCAGTGACTTTCTGTGTAAAGGGGAAGATCATCATAGTCTTTTGGTGAGGACTGATCAGCTCATGTTGGGGAAGCCCTCTGCCCAAGGCCTGGCCACTGTAAGAACTCAATGGCGGGGTGGGGGATGGGGGGAATGCCGCTAAGGGGAACAGCGTTTGCCTACTGTGCTAGAGGTCCTGGGTTTTCAGCGGTGGGAGTAATGAATGTCATCATCCCCACCTTCATCACCTCACTAACCCCCAAATCCCAAGGCCACGGGGCCCACCCAGAGACCCACCACCTCCCCTCTAGGAGGTGCTTGCACCACTGCACAGCCCCAGGACAGCCCTCACTGTCGGGAGGGCGGGGGGGGGGCGCGGCTCCCACCCTCAGGACCAGCTGCTGGCCACGTGAAAAAGTCTTACACCCTGACCAGACGTTATTTCCAGATAGCGCCTTCTCTGGCCGGAGGCTCTGGCCCTGTGCAGATGGTGCAAAATTGATCCTTTTATTCCTGCACTAGTAAGACTTTCGGTGGACAATTGCTGCACCTCTGCTGTATGCCTCAGCTGTGCTGGGGACTCTTACACGGTTCAGTTAACTCTTGTTTTCCCAGGTCTCCTGCCCAGGATACCGGGCCCCAAAACAGTAACAAAACTGTCTTTATCTGGCTGTGCCCTGGGGCATCTTCTGTCTGGCCTCTCTACTTGCTCAGGAGCCAGTTCCTTTCCTCCTGCCCCGGTGTGAGATGAGCTGTCCTCTCTGGGGCTCTGCACGCTCACTGCTGAAGGGACCCACAATTCCACATGAGTGTCAGCATGGGTACCCACGTGCACACCGCCCTGCACAGCCTTGTACTCCAAATTCCTGTAGAAAGCTGGTGATAAGTTCCTTTTATTCTTGTCAATTCCTTTTCCCATAGCTCAGAGAAGAGCACCTCTCTGAATCTACTCAGCAGGATTGAAAATGGCCTCTTTTTGTTCCTTGGTCCGAGCATACTAGTATCTTTTCTTCCTCAGATGGATTACAGGTGGGGTTGGAGATGTAGCTCAGTGATAAGACCGGTCCCAGTCTGGATCCTTAAATTCTGAAGGTCTATTAAGAAATAAAGAGAGAGCAAGCCAAGCATCACAGTGCATGCCTGTAATCCCAGAATTGGGGAGGCTGAGACAGGAGGATTGCTGCAAATTCAAGGCCAACATGGAGGACATAGTGAGTTCAAGTTCAGACTGAACTACATAGCAAGTCTTAAAAAAGAAAAAGAAAAAAAAAGCTTGCATGGAGGCATGTACCCTAATCCCAGCACTCTGAGAGGCTAAGGCAGGAGGATTGCAAATTCAAGCTCAGTCTGGACAATTTAGTGACCCAGTGAGACCCTATTTTAACATAATAAATAAAAAGGACTGGGCAAGTAGTGAAAGTGCGAAAGCTGTGAATTCAGTCCCCAGTACCGAGAGAGAAAGCAGTTGTGTGTGTGTGTGTGTGTGTGTGTGTGTGTGTGTAAAATGTCTCTTTTCTATTGAATCTATAAGAGACAAATAGATATTGGAATCATATATTACTCCAACAGGTATGTCATCTTGCTAACTGAAGACTTTCTCAATATGTATGAGTAATGCATCTTCGTTATAAAGTTTTATGCATTTCCAAGTGCCACTGATTTATGTAATTCATGATCTGTGCCACGGCTATTCATGCCTTCGGTTGTAGATGTACTCCTGGTGGGCCCAAATACACACTGGTGGAAATTAGTGACTGTATCTGAAACTCTCCTCTCTCTGCTTCAGATCACTTGGCCTCCTTTTGGTCCAGTGATTTTTCATATTTCAAAAAGTGAGAGGAAGCCGTGTGTCTGTATACTTCTAGCCCCATGACTCAAGTTTCTTTATTTGGGGCTGGAACGGTTTCCTCGCAGGGAGATAATGCTAGGTATTAGCCTGTACTGATGAGATGCCTGCCTTTAATTGCCCATTCATCCACCCAGCAACATTCTGGAGCATCTTTTATGGACTAGTCACTGTGCTGGGTATTGAGGACACGGAGAAGAGGGGACAGTGCTTATTCCTGAGGATTCAAGCTTAGTAAATGGATGATAAAAATAAACACACAGGACTTTATAAAAATGGCTATAAAATGCTTCAAAATTGCTATAGCATTCACTCCAGGACCCAGGCAACTTCCATTCACACAGCACGAGGAAGCTGCAGGCCATGTAGACCAAAATCACTTGCTTTGGGGTTTTTTTGTATGGAGAGCATCCCAAAGGCACGTTTAAGACCTCCGTTTCTATTCGGTGGGAGCAAGCCAGGTTGGAAGAATGATTCAAAGAAAAATCAGGAGTCCCTTTTGTCCCCTAATGGAATTGAGCTCAGACTTCCCTTTTTAGAAGATTGAAGGTGGGAAGCAGGCAGGATGGTGTCTTAATTACTTTCTTGTCACTGGGACAGAATACTCAACACCTAGCGAGGCATGGTGGTGCATGCTTGTGATCCCAGCACTCAAGAGGTCGAAGCAAGAGAATTGCTGTGAGTTTGAGGCCAGTCTGAGCTAGTGACTTCAGGGCCAGCCTGAGCTGCATAGAGAGCCTCTGTCTATAAAAACCAAAAACAAGCAAAAACTGACACCAACAGCTTTAAGGAGGACAGGTTTATTGTGGCTCACAAGGTTTAAGTCCATATTCCACTAGCTCCCAGACAGGCCAGCATGGCTGAGGAGAGTTGCAGACAGGAAGCAGAGCATCGAGGGAGAGGCCAGAAAGGGCAGTATAACTTCTGGGTCACACTTACACTGACCCACATCTTCTGACCAGAACCCACCTTCAACAGCAAGTTAGTTATACCACTCCCATAACCCAATCGCCTTTCAAAAGCCACACTTTGAGTGCATGAAGATTTAGGGGGACCAAAATGTTCCACCCCTGGCCACCCAAAACTAATATACATTTCTTTATGCAATATACATTTAGCCCATCTCTAAGAGTTATCAAAATCCTAATGGTTCCAGCGTTACTAAAGAGTCCAAAGTCTTGCCAGGTGTGATGGTGTGTGCCTGTAATCCCAGCACTCGGGAAGCAGAGGCAGGAGGATCGTTGTGAGTTCAAGGCCAGCCTGGGCTACAACATGAGCTCAAGGCCAGCCTGAACTACATAGCGAGACCCTGTCTCAAAAAGACAGAAAAAAAAAAAAAAAGTCCAAAGTCTCCCCTGAAATACAAGGCAAACTCTTAGTGGTGAACCTCTGTAATTTCAAAAAGAAGTTAAATACTGTTTAAATTAAATATACAATGGCACATGTTAAACATTCTCACTCCAAAATGGAGAAATAGAAGGATAAAAACTAATGGGACCAAAACAAGACCAAAGCACAGCAGGGCAAAATTAAATCCTGTAACTCTGTGTCCAGCACCTGTGGCAGGCTGTGCTGAGATGCAAACTCCAAAGGGCTTGAGCAGCCCTGCCCCTATGGCATTGCCAGTGGTTGTATCTCTCGTGGCTTCTCTCTTGGGCTAGGTTTGCTCACTCCTGTGAGTTTCCTCAGACATTCTATGCTCCTGGATTCTCCAGTTTCCTGGGGTCTCTGCTGTACTTTTGGTTTCACTTTCGTAACTTCACATACTGCCTTCTGAGGGGCACACTGCCTGGCCCCTCAGGCCTTCTCCTGAAATCTAGATGGAAACCTTCCTAAGCGCACAACACTCTTGCCTTCTGCATGCCTGTAAAACCAGCACCACATAGTTGACTCCAAGGTCTACTGCCAGCTCAAGCAATACCCAGGCTTTCTTTTATCATGGTTGCCGAGGTTTCTGAGTCCCTGAACGGCTGAGCTCTATGAACTAAATCCTAGGAAACAAATTCTCTAGTCAGCTCTTTGGGAGCGTGCCCTGGAGGTCCTTTCTCAAAGCAGTCTTTCAGATTTGACATTTTGAGCCTGTGAAAGATGGAATCTTGCTGGTTCCTCACATGCCCTTAAGCCATTTTTCCTCTTGTCCTAATCCAAAGTATTAAAACTTGGCTTAGTTTTAATATTAATATTTGCAGCAACCAACCTCTTTTCTGTTACATCTTTGTGGTGCTTTCCTTCTGGAAAAGCTAAAAACTATTAAAATGGGTTTTTGCTCTTGATTTTCAATATAAACCTGGCTAAAAGCCCCTGACGGTATCCATACCACAGCCCCAAGATTGGGCTGCCTTGAAATTTCCTTTGCTGTATTAATTAATGCACTGCCCTTAATCTCAGTCTTCAGCAAAGTCTCAGGACTTGAGCAAAATATGGAAAAATTTTCTGCCAGAGCGTAACACACAAGACCAGGACCCAACTGCCAAAACTCCTTGTTCCCAGCTGAAACCTCCTGAGCCTGATCTTTCCTGTCTGTTTTTTTAAGATCAGCCATTCAGGTCTTCCGCACTCAAGCCAGAATCTCCCCTCGAACTTGGCTTACAGCATTCTGTAGTTTCTCCAGCCAACATCTCCCGACCTTTCCAAATTCCTCCCATAGATAGTTCCAAAGGCATCTAGAGCACATGGCCAGACCCCACTTCTCTGCTACCAAAATCTGTCTCAGTTACTTCCCTCATTTCTATAACAAAATACTCAACACTTAAAACTTAAAGGGAAAAGAGGTTTATTTCAGCTCAGGTTTCAGTCCATAGTCAGCTGGCTTCAAGCCAGTATAGTATAGCTGAGGGGCATGGCAGAGGAGAGTTGGTCACCTCGTGGCAGCCCAGAAGCAGAGACAAGGG